ACAATGAGAAAATTGAACAATAATCTGAAGAGTCAAGAAATCAATTTTTTCAGCAAATAAAATTGGCAAAAGTTATCTGATAAAAGCTTAACTTTTAAAAGACAGCTTCTCTATAACTTCACAAAATTTTATATCCGTAGTCCATAATTTTATAACCATAATTTCTATAACACATGAAACATCTACACACACAGAGTGAAAGAGAGTCAGAGACAGAGAGACAGAGACAAAGAGAGACTAGAATTTAAATATCTGTTTTGCAAAAACAGAACAAAAAAATTTCCAAGATGTATCAAGAAGTTGTGATTTTTTTCTCGAAAACTAATAGCCGCTTATGGATCAAAATGCTTTTATATGAAAAGTATTTTTATAAGAAACTTACTTAGGATCAGTGCAAATACTGGTTTTTCCTGTGCGTGTGTCAGCCAAATTCATAGTTTGCCACTCTTCACATACAATGCTAAAAACAAACATTTATCACAGACCCTGAAAATATCCAGTATTACTCATGCAGCTAATAATCTTCTATAATTTTTACAGTACTTATAAGAGACTATTTGAAAGGCTTCATCCTAAGTGTCCTAAGTATCTCCACCTTAAAAATTACCTGCAAGCAACAAACGCATGTTATATGTGAAATGCAAAAATAACAGAACCATCTTGTTAGATGGTCACCTGGAAATATCATCAAGTGTCTTTTGTTGTCTGTATATGCACATTGGGGCTGAGGTTCATTGAATGAAATAATGTTAGAATTACAGATACTATCTAAATGGGTTTATTGCTTGTGCTACTCTGCTTTGTGGTTTTGTTGATCAAGCAGATCATATTGAATTCAACATATTTAATTGAGCCTATGATATAACTAGTAATATACTTATCCAATGTCTTAAATTTCTTTCATTAATCAACAAATGCATAGTTACATGTTCATATATCCAAACAACTGATACCATGAGACCACAGGATCTCAATTTACAATAACTCTTCAAAAGTAAGCTAAATGGGAAATTTACTCAAGAAAAAAAACTTGTGGTCAAAAGCAATTAAATAGTGATTCATTTGCTAAACTTCCATTTTGTAACATATATAGCAAGAAAAGGTAACTGAATATACCTTCAAATCTTTCAGACAGTTTCACTTTAATTGGGTTTACCATTTGCTGGTGCCAATAAGAAAAACTTTAATTAAATGTTAAGATATAAAAAGACTCACTTAACATAGAAAAGAAAACGAATCCTTATGGTTTATTTTGGCTGTGTTAATGTGGATCACAAAAGATGCACTGCTGGGAGAATACAAAATTCATCCAAAAGACAATGTAACACTTGGCTAATTAGACCGTAAACCCCAGAAGGTTGAACTGTTTCCTTGTGAGAGGCTCCTGGAAACAAATGATCTCTCTATGACAAACTATACATTATAAGCAAAGCCTCCTCTCCCAAGTGAGCACAGGAATGACCTCTGACTCAGTACAATTGGATGCAGTCCCAGGCAGAGATGAAAGGCAGGAATGGCAAAATCTTCAGGAAGTGACTCCCTTCACTAATCCCCAGAGTCCTTCAGTACTTGTGAGCTTTTCACATAGTCACACAAATGATGAAGTGAACTGGAGGAAATAAAAAGTCAAGATACAAAACCCATGCCCCCATAAGGGCAAGGTGTCATCTAGCATCTAGAGAAAATAGTTGCATTATTCTTTAAGAGCCCCGGTGTAAGCATGATCGAACAAAAGAATATCAAATCCTAAAATGGACAACATCCTGAATGATAACTTTTTCCAAGGTAAATTACTCGCACAATAAACATCATACATGGGGCAGAGGAGGTAGCTTAGTTGGAGAACACTACCCTAGCATGCATAAGGTACTGGATTCAAGGATCCCCAGCAATACACACACACACACACACACACACACACACACACACAAATGCACATATGCAGGCATGCATGCGTGTTTGCACATGCACACAGATGTACACAGATTCCACTCACAAAAGAACTCTAACTATTCTCCCAATCCATTTAAATAATTGTAACCCTGAATTGGCTGTAAAAAGCCCAGTATTTAGCCATGTAATGTCTTGATTAAATGAAAGAAAAGTAAATTTTGACTAATTAATATATAATCACTACTAGTAACCTCAAAATATTCATACTTAACCTTGAAAATAAATGTGTAGTATTCACATGAAATCCAATAGACCATAGACCATAGACTTCTGCAATTTTTAAAATACTATTTATATTTTCCATGGACTGGAAAAAAGCATATGATATTATAAACATAGACATTCTTTTTACTAAGTTCTCTCCTTTCCACCTAATTATTTCACATAATAGCAATATTACTGAGCTGTTCTTAAATCCCCGAAGGTTTTAAACATCATCTTCTCCTAAGAAGGAAGGCAAATGCAGTGCTTCTGCCCTACTTATACCAGTTAGGAGAAAAGTACCTGTCAGACACAGAATAGCACTGTTTGGCTCTGGCTGGTAAAAGAAGCCCTAGCTAGCATGTTGGGACTCTCAGTAGAGACTAGCCCTGCCCCTAGAGGGAAATAGAAAGGAACCAGCCTTAGAAATATTTTGAAAAGAGAAACTAGAACATTAACCACAAGCCCTGGAGAAAAGGGTCGTCCAGAACTCACCAGTGTAGGCATGAGCAACAAACAGAAAAAAAAAAAAATCTTTCAGGCAAAGGCTCATGAAAGTGTCAAGGAGAAAGTGCATCCACCCCCCTGCTATGTCTGCAGATCACTTTCTCAGCTGCTAAATGACTGGCAAACTTAAATTTAGCATTTTAGAAATGGTAGTAAAGTATGTACCTTAAAGTATTCTCTAGAGAGAGCTAAGTTGATCATCATTCTATACAACTCTAGTATTTGTTTAAGATTGCACACACACTGACTAACCTATAGGGGGGAAAATGTACTGTTAGGCTTTTGTCTTAGTTTTGCTTTATTTTATACTACATTATCTATTTTATACTACATTATCATATAGATCAGGGAAAAAACCTTATGTCCAAACAGAAATCAAATATTTATGAAATATTAAGATAGAAATATCTTCTGAAAGTAAATAAGTACATGATAACTTCTTTAGTTGGTTGTTTTAGAAAAGCACTGTATGCTATAATTACAACACTGTATTCTGATTTCTGGAAGATGGTCCTGTATTTTTATCCAGGATGTGCAGAAACATTTAATTTTTAGATATAGGCCATTACTTTGAAAAGCGCCCTCTTTAAACCTGGTTCAAGAAATAAAAGCATTGAAGTCAATCATTTACATGAGTGTGAAATTAAGTATTTTATTTGCATGTTACTTTTGAGTGCCATATATTTCTGTACATATCAATGTCATTTGGTGATTAAGACTGAAGACTTTCATCATGAAATTGTTTTCTTTTCAAAAATAAAAATCAATGAAAATCCATAATAGGAGTTGCACCATACCTCATGAGGGACTGAACAAAGGCTGGTATTCTTCTACACTTGATTGCAACCTTTAAATTTTTAAAGAGCTTAACAATCGAATTTGCCTTAGAGAAAGGCCATTTGTAAGTTGGCCTGAGCATCTTCCTAGTGAAGAAAGCATGCTTGATTATTTAGTAGGTTCTTCTAGCATGCACGCTCTTTTGATCACACTCAGCTTTTCTAAGTCTTCCGATAGACTGCCCTGTGTGTGCGAAGAGGTGTCTTAATATTGAATCCTTCCAAAGGATTCAATGTGAGTCTATGAGTAAATCATAAGGGGCTACTGACCACAACTACCTGAGAAAGCCCGAAGGGAGGGGCCTCCGGAGGGTTGCCAGACAGGACTACAGGTTTCCTACACTAAGAACGTTCAGAACACTGGACAGTTCCTCCCAAGGCCGGCCGCGAAGGCAATCGCTCTTGGTTTGGAAGCACAGCTCAAAGTAAGGCTACTCTCTGGGCTGTACGTGTTGGCGGCAGTATAGGAGTCTGCTCCTGCGCTTGGGGCGCACAGCCGCTCCTTCAGGTGAACCTTTCGCTTTGGGGAACAAGTTCAGCTCGCGATACAAATAAATAATTAAATGATCAAATACATTCCCCCGAGTCAGTAGCTGGGGATTGTGAACGAGGGGCCCGGTGCCGCAGCACTGAGAGCCGACACAACGACTAAGAGGATCGGCTTTGCGACCTTCCTTCGACCATCTCTTTCCAGGCTCGGAACCGGGCTGAGCACGGACTGAGCGCTCCACATCCCACCGGGGATCGTCCTGACGTCTGGATCGGCGAGGCTGGAGTTCTGACAGCAGCCGCCAAGCCAGGCGTGGAGGCACACCTATGGATCTACAGATCCGGAGCCCCGCGGGAGCCTAGTAGTCAAGGTCAAGCGCCGGCGCCGCCGCCTGCGGTTCGGGAAGGGACTCGGAAGAACGCCCCCCCCGCCCCCGTTCCCTCCCCGTCCCTGGTTCGGGAACTCGGGGCTTCCTGTCATGCTCTTGGCCAGCCAGGCAGCCAGGCAGAGCAGGCTCTCCACCCAGACCACCAGCCACCGGACCCCAGCGCCGGAGGAGCCCTCCTCCGCCCGCCAGCCACGAAGGGAAGGGCAGGCGGGGCCCTGCGGCAGGTGCCCAAAGCCTGAGAACCACAGATGGACGCTCCCCTCGGGGTGGCGGGACCTGGGGGGGTTCCTGTGAGCCCCCCACTTAGCCCGCCGCCTCGGGACCCCCAGAAGCGTCTCCTCCACCGCCCCCCACCCCCTGGAGGAGGGGAGCAGCGCCGCTTGGGACGGTGTGTCTGCCCTCTCCCGGCCTCTCACGCCGAGTAAAAGTTTCCAGGGTACAACTTAGCGCCCTCTCCTCGGGGAGGGCGGCGGGGGGGGGGGTCACCCTTCCCCGATCGTTCCCCCAAAGTTCTCAGGGGACGCCAGGGGACGCCTCCCCCCCCCCGCCCACCACCCCGGGGGCTCGAGGGCGCGGCCCGGCTCTCCGGGCGGGCGGGTGGGCGGCGCCGCGCAGCCCGACTCACCTGAAGTCGCTGTACGGGTGGATGATCCAGAAGCCTGCAGTTTTAACCCTTTCCTGCTCCTTCTCCACCGCCTTCTGGCTCCCGAACATGCGGAGGGAGAATTTGTTGACGCCGGGCTGCAGCATGGAGGTGAACTGGCGCTGCATGAAGCCGTACTGCCGCCGGGGCCCGTCGGCGTCCTCGAGGCTGCCCGCCGGCTCCTCGGCGCCCGCGCCGCCGTCCACCTTGAAGCACACCGAGTTGGCGTGCTCCTTGGCGCCCG